AGAACTGCTTTTTAATTTCATGTTCTGTTTTTTTGTTGCCCAAGTAGAAATAATTGTTTTCATCCTGTTGAAACCATGCTAAATGTTCTAATTCAATTTTAATGGTTTAGTTGCACAGTCTTTTGGATTTCCAAAATGCTCAAACACATCATCTGTGAATAGTCCATTTACCCGCTTCCTCTCAAATCTTGATGCCTTTTAAATTTCTTCAGTCTTTCTGATTACACTAAATATGAGACCTTGTACAAGTTTGAATAGAGGTGATTACAGTCTACTTCTTATTTTACATTCAGTCTCCAAGGGAAAGCTTTTCTCTTCCTCTTGTTTCTCCTTCCCTTCCTCCTTTCTCTCCTCCTCCTCTTGCTCCTACTTCCAGCCCTCTCCCTCTCTCATACAGTCTTCCTCTTTAGTCTAGAACTTGCTGTTCGGAAAAAGGCTGGCCTTAAACTTTTGGCAATCCTGCTGCTTCTGCCTCCTGATAGGATCATAGGTGTGTCTCGTCAGCCCTGCCCACTGGAGGGTAGTTTCGGCAGTGATAAGAGTGGTGGTGTTTGTGGGCTTACTCTGTGTCGTAGATTAAGTTAGTTGATGTCTATTAGTTTGTTTTCTATTGGGCTACTCGGTAAGACAGTAGAAACTTTAGGATCACGCACACATTTATTAAAATGTTTTGCAGCCACCTTTCAAATAAATGACTTGTGCTCAAATTCCTAATTTTGGTTATATATTTGGGACACTTAAAAAGACATATGCTATAGGCCACCAGTAAAATGTTTACATAAAAAGAGGAGGCTATGGGAGACAGCTTTCAGCCTGGGAAGGATGACAGCAAACCAGTGCCACTCAGCATGGGTTTGCTTCAGTGACAAAGCACGCCAGGTCACTCTTTGGCACTTTTGTCAATGGGAAGCATGTGTTTGTCACCCACACAAGATGGAGATTCAGTCTTACAGTCAGGCTCTCCCTGGTTTATCAGGTAGATATTGTGTCTGTTAGAGCAAAGAAGAAATGAAAGTGAAGACAAACTAGCCATAAGCTTGGCCTGTTTGCGTTGAGACAAGGTCTGACTTTGTCCAGGCTAGCCTGGTCTTACACTCCTGGTAACCCTCTAGCTTCTGCCTCCTGAGTACTAGAAGGTCAATTGTGTGCTCCCATTCTGGCCAGGCTATTGTAAGTTTGACTAAGACTAAGGCCCGACCATTGTGTTGACCAGATTCTGAAGGGCTGGATGAGAATTGGGAGGTAAAGTGAGTCTCTTATACTCAGTGAGAAACCAAGTTGCATTGAGAACAGAGAAATGGAATGACCAGATATTCTGGAAACTGAACAAGGCTGAGTGTGAGAAAGGCAGGGAAATCCTTTGGGAAGCCCTTGAGTGATCCAAGGGTAATGTGGTTAGGGTGGCAGTCAGAGCAGGGACAGAGCAGTGGCAAAGGGTGTGTGTGTGTATGCATACATGTGTGTGAGAGAGGTGTGTGTGTGTCTGTGTGTGAGAGAGAGAGAAAGAGAGAGGTGTGTGTGTGTGTGTGTGTGTGTGTGTGAGAGAGAGAGAGAGAGAGAGAGAGAGAGAGAGGTGTGTGTGCATGCATGTGTGTGTGAGAGAGAGGTGTGTGTGTGTGTGTGTGTGTGTGTGTGAGAGAGAGAGAGAGAGAGAGAGAGAGAGAGAGAGAGAGAGAGAGTTGCATGTGTGGGTGTGAGAGAGAGAGACGGGGGATATGACTGGGCAAAGGGAGTAAAAAGTGGTAGTGACTGACCAGATGTGACAGATGTGGGGACTGAATTGGAGAAAGGATTTCTTGTTGAATGATAGTTTAAACACTTTTACTGGGGTTGCTGCCCTTGTAACAGGGGTCCCCCTGGTGGCAAAAGAGAACCAAAGTAAGGTTTCCTCTCTCACAGGCTCTTCTGAGATGTACAACCATGGTTACAATATCGTAAAATAGGGATGCCCCTCTCCTCTCGGGTAGCAAAGAGACACATCTAAGAATAGCTGAGAGCTAATTGCTGATCATGGAACAGGAAGTGAGGTCTGACCACATCCTTGATCTGTTCAAAGGAGGCTGATACTGGCCAAATTCTTTCTCCAAGAAATCTCCACGTAGCTGGAAAAGATCAGTTGGAGTCTGTAGCCCTAGATCCGGTAAACCCTGGGACCTCTCCTGGGAATTACTGATCCTGTTTCTTCAGAGCACAGCCAGGGGGTGAGTGGAGACTCCGGAGCTGGATTCACCTGAGTTCGGATGCTGGCTTTGTCACAGGTGTGCCAGCATTGGTATCTTCCTCTGTGCATTCCACACAATGGCACCTAAGTGATTACGGGGATTCAGTTGGAGGTGGTCCTGAGGATGGTAATAAAAAAGGGGGGCATTCCAAAACAGCTTCAGAGAATTACTGAACTGGTAGACCACTCCCCCTTTTCTGAGGCCAAGGGCTGCCACTGGACAGGGAAGGCAGCATTCCAGAGAGCTCTCTGTCTGATTTTTTTTCCTCTCTAGGTAGCAGCTCTTGAATTTTCCAAAACAGGTGTGCTGTATAGGTCTGAGTCATCGACCAAGATGAGATATTTCAGAAACTTCCCATTTTAAGCCTTTGGCATGTTCCTGATTTTGTATAAATATCTTGCTTGCTATATAAATATGCAAAGTGCAACCTCTTGCTGAGTGCTGCGACCGACCTAAGAAGCCAGCCAGAGCATAGGCGCATCTAGTGATTATCTTTCACCGATCCCTTCGGATACTGGAAAGGTTTGCAGTGTTAAAGCTCATACGAGCTAAACCGTTGGAAATCACTGCAGCCTCGCTTTCCCTCTCCGGGAGCTCTGTGGGCACATGCATTAGTCGGTCTGATCCATCTGCAAGCCTTTGTGAGCTCCCTAATGAAAACAACTGCATTTTCAGGGCTTAATTGCGTATTATTGAGTGGTCTGTCTCTCATTCTGTAAACGTCCAATGATGAGGAATGTTCCGTTCATTAGAAAGCTCCAGCCTGTGAGGGAGGGCTGGTGTTTTATTGATGTATACAGAAAATATCATCCTAAAGGTCAGAAAATAACTATTGGAGAAAAAAGGCCTACCCTACCCAACTCCATGTAGACAATATTGTATCGAATAGCGGGAGTTTGACAAGACTAATCAATCACACATTTCACACACACACACACACACACACACACACACACACACACACCCAGCTAGCAATTCTCTTCCCGTGTACTTGTGAGAGCATCTTCTCACTAGTTCCCTAGATTTGAAATTGCTTTGTCAGATGCAACAGCTGACATTGTGTGCCTCTTCTAGAGATACAGGAAACATCTGCTGGGTCCTCAGGAGGTGTTGATGTGTGGCATAAACAGTCCAGTCAAGTCTGCTCTGAGTGAGTCTGGTTGGGGTACCCACCTCAAGAGGCAGAAACCAGCGTTCTGGCTTTCATGAAGTGAAGAAACGCATTCACAGCCACTGCCCACACCAATCCGTGCCCATCCGCCAGCCTCTTCCCTCCAGTTCTCTGTAATCTGGGGAATATTGGCTGGCCTTTGTCGCACGATAGCCATGCTCCTGGATAAAGAACTAGGTACGTTTTCCTGATAGCCCAAGTAAGTCTGGATTGTGCAGAGCACAAAATAGTAAGTAGGAAACATTGGCTCCCTGGCTGGGAAACACATAAAAATAATACTTGAAAATACTTTAAAAATATAATTGTTTAATTAACTCAATAAACATGAGTCTATATTTGTTTTAAAATTATTTTCTATTATTAGGTATATTTGTTTTAAACTATTTCTATCATTAAGTATTATCTTATAGTTTCTTATTTTTTAGGTTTTCCCCATTATGTTTGTCTTCACTATATCAGAAGAGACTTCTGGCCAAATCACAAAACAGGCTACTTTTATTCCAAGTGTTACAGTTATATCTACATGATTATATAAATACATACATACATATATGTGTGTGTGTGTGTGTTTGTGCATGCAGACATGTGTGTGTGAATGCTATTGTTTTAACCAGACAGCTGCCATGCAATAGCCAGGGGTATGCAATAAATGAATAGATGTATTAATGTATGTGTGTTGTGAGTTAGGATTTTTTAAAAAGAATTATGTATAAGTGTATTTGCTTATTTGATGTGTGGCCACTTTTTATCCCAAATTGATCAAGCTGAGTTTAGACTTCTTCCCTGTGTTACTACTGACCTGGAGTCATTTTTCAGGTGTAACTGCTTGGGAAATGGTACACACGACACGTGAGGACAAAAGCGCAGACTCCCTGCTGCGTCTTTCCCTGTCATGGTGGCCTCGACATGCGCGAGCTGAGTGTGTGTGCATATGTCCAGGTGACACTTGGGATTAAAACAGCGTGGTTTTAACCAACTGCCGGAGCCAGTCAATCTGAAGTCATGACCGTTGTAGAATATTATTTTAAGTTGTGTAACATTTGTTTATCGTATGGAGCATTTGTTTTAATGATGCAAAGATGTGTTGCATTCTTTTATGTTGTATCTGCTTAACTCTGTGAAGCTGTGATACTGTGCCTGTCTAAAACAGCTGATTGGTCTAGTAACGAGCTAAATGTCAGTAGCTAGACAGGAGAGAGATAGGTGGGATTGGCAGGCAGAGAAAATAAATAGGAGGAGAAATCTGGCAAGAGCAACCAAGGAACCAGAGAAGGAGAAGGAGAGGAGAACATCAGAGGCTAGCCACTAAGCCACCCAGCCAGCAACCCAGCCAGCCAGCTACCCAGCCAGCCACGGAGTAAGTAAAGAAGGGTATATAGAAAGATAAAAGTCTAGAGGCAAAAAGTAGACAGAATACTTGAAGTTAAAAAAAGCTGACTAGAAATATGCCAAGTTAAGGTCGGGCATTCATAAAAAAGAATAAGCCTTCATGTGTTTATTTGGGAGCTGGGAACTTGGCTGGAGGGGGCGGTGGGGAGACCTAAAAAAAAGTAAAACAAAACAAGTATATATGGCAATCTGAGAATGACCACAGCACCGACCCTTACCTTCCGGTATCCCCAGAGCTGGTTCCCTTTCATGCCGTGACAGTCATAGAGGGTGACCGGGCTGCTGTGTGAGATGGCATCGAAGCAGAATTTTCGGGTGTGCAGAGGCTCGCCGGGTCGGATATCTTCTCTCCACCCGAAAGTAAAGAGCTAGCAAAACAACAGGAGCAGAGAAGCTGCGGTGAGGTCAATGGGCGGGAAGGTTCCGGAGCATGCGCAGAGGTGTGGTAACAAGGTGGAAGCTCCCGGCTTGTGAATACAAGGGGCATGCATGTCTCTGCACAATCGAGGGGTTGAAAAGGCTACGCTTCAAAGTGCCGGCAAGACCGGTGGCCAGATGGGTAAACATGTAAAGGAGAAGTTTTCAATTAGAAACTGGTAAGAAAGGAACAAGAGGAGGGGTGTAAGGGAGGGAAGGAGAGAGAAAGGTATTTTGAAGGTGGAAGAAGAGGAGGGAAGGATGAAAGATGAGAGATGTGAGAGGGAGAAGGGAGGGGGTGGAAGGAAGGAGAGGAGAAGAAAAGCCTTTAATAGAACTCTCGGCATTTATCATGTAGATAAAGTGTTCCTGGATCAAGGACGGCGGCGCTGGCCTAATGAGCAGATTAACTGCCAAAGGACAAGACTTCAAGTTGAGCTGGATTGATGCTCGCACCTTGAAAAATCCAATTGAAGGAAAAGCCGAGCTCAATGAAGTAAAGAATAGGCAAATTAATTTTCTGGCGTAGGTAAGTGCAATTCTGTGGGGTGATACAGTCAGTTTTAGATTGTAACTCACAATAGGAAGTCCAGTTCGCACTTACAGGTCCCTCACCTCCAACCTGAAACACGAGTTTTATGGAATGATGGATACCACAACTCCATTTAATGCTTCAATATCACAACTCCACTTAATGCTTTAATATGCCGTCCATTGCTTCCTAGCCTCGCCTGTGTTATCCATCTTCCTCTATACTACACATTCTACTTATTCGGTCCTAAATAACTTTACGATGTGTTAAATTGACAGACAACATTCCTATTGGGAAAGAGTCTTTTCTTGAGTTACTTGAGTAGAATGACATTTGTAGGGTACCATCCAAAAAAGCCCTTAGCTGAAGGGGAAGATGGACCGGGGAAGCCTTGGGATTTCTTCCAGGTCTGGTTTAATAGGTTATGTGATTCTTCGAGGAAGCTTCTAGGAGGAGACAGCAGTATGAAGCACAGCTGTCAGGGCCAACGTGTTACTGACAGAGAGCTAACAGTGTGCAGGGCTAGAATCACCTAAATACACTCGCCACTGACTTGGCCTTCCAGATACGTGGGTTTTTAGGTCCCACCTAGAGATAGGGCAAGTCTAGAGATGGCTAAGAGAAAACAGTTAAGCGGTGGGACTCTGAAAACAATTGAAAGGACTAGGGTAAGTGATCTGCATTAGGAAAAGAAATGATTTAAATCCATACATGCAAGAAACCTATCTGAGGAGAGGTGAGTGTCTATGCTCCGTGCCCCTAAAAGGCAGGCAGGACAAGAGTCAGGCTCAGACAGGACAAGGGTTAGCGTTTGTGATAGAGTCATGAGCAAGAGTTGTGTAGTCTGTCTGTCTGTCTGTCTGTCTCTCTCTCTCTCTGTCTTTTGTTCTCTTAGGTCCTCCATACAGGAAAAGCGCCTATTGGGATGCTCCTAAGTTTGAGCTCTCTTCCAAACAAGCTGCTTCCATGACTTTTGAAGTACCGTCTCCTCTGCAGTAATCTGTCTGCTCAACAACATGGTGTCACCAAAGGGTGTTCCCCTTTCCTGCTTGGCTTTAAATTCTCTCAGACCAGCTTTCACCAAAATGCTCAAAACCATGTTGTGTGTAGCCCCTGGGAGGATTTTCCCACTGTGTCTCCTAGGAGACTCATCAAACTCATTCTATCCTACACTTGCTGGATTTTCACGTCTTGGCTAGCCTGTTCTCCTTTGAGTTATTCTAGTTGGCGGTAATGTCATTCATCTTGTCAGCCATGAAGTCTTTGAACTTTTGCCTCTTTTATTTTCCTCATCTAATGACTTGTCAAGTCTGATCACTGCCTCATCTTTGGCAGTATTGGTGAGCACTGAGCAATGACTATACCACTACGGTACAACTTGCCACTTTGGTCTCATAAACATTTCTGGAATTAGTTTCACCCTCTGAATCTTCACAAACATTGTTCTCAATATCTCTTGTTTGGACTACTGTAATAAACTGCTTCTGTTCTCACAGTCTTCTCTCTCTCTCTCTCTCTCTCTCTCTCTCTCTCTCTGTGTGTGTGTGTGTGTATGTGTGTGTGTGTGTATACAAGCACGTGTGTTTGCGTGCACGCATGTGCGATCATGGGGGTTCAGAGGTCACAGGTATTATTCTTTAGTCACTGTACACTTTTGTTTTAAAGTCAAGGTGTCTCCTGGGCTGGAACTTGCCGCATTGGCTACACTGACAGCCAGTGAGCTACAGCGTTCCTCACGAGTGGTTCACTTCCTCAGTACTGGGATTAAAAGTGTGTGTGCCACCAAACCTGACTTTTAAAGTGGATTCTGGGGCTTGAACTCACGTCTTTGTGCTTCAAGGGAAGCACACTCCAGGATCTGTGCCCCTACCACCTACCAACCTCCTTGTTGGTGTTGTCCACACTCCTGCCTCTCGTAGTCAACTAGACTTTTGAAAATTTTTATTTACTTGTTTAACTTTCAGGAGAAAAGCGTTCATTTGGTTATAGGTTATAGGTTACAGGCTCATCATTGGGGGGAGGGTAAGACAGTTCTCAAGACAGGAGCTTGGAGGTAGGAGCTGGAGCAGAGGCTGTGGAAGGACACTGCTTACTCCCATGCTTCTATTCAGCTACTTCTTTCTTTTTCTCCCCCTCTCTCTGACATTCTTGTTCTCTTCTTTTTTCCCTCTTCCTCCTCCGGCTAGATTCCCTCCCACCTACCCAAATAGTCTTCCACCAGAGTGAGGGTGATCGATTTACCAGGGGCTACACTCTTAGAGAAAACTGTCTCTCTCCATGGCAGGGGGTGGGACTATGTGCCCTGCTTTTCTTTCTCTGTCTTCACTTTTGTATATGCAGAAGCCTAAAGATGAAAGGAATTAGAACCCTCACCTAAAGAAGACCTTCATTTGATAGATCTGACTTCTGCCTCAAGTGTCCCAGCTTCTTCTATTCCATTTTCTCCTGCTTTTCATTAAATGAATCCATTAAGGTCCAAATAACACTCGCGCAACAGCGAATCTGTCTCTTAGACATCATCTACTATCAGAGTTGTATCTGGGCACACTTACGCGACTTTTGTTTCCCACTTCTGGGTTTGCTATTGCAGGGTGATGATCTTTCCTGCATTTGTAGATTGATTGCTAGAAGGGAATTTTCATAAGGCTTTCTGCATTATTCTTGTTATTATTATCTGGTGATTGCAATCCTGGGCCCCGGGTGATAAATCTTCAAATTATGCCAATTGTTTTATTTTTGTGCACCTTTCAATAACTATTATTTCCCCTCTCTTATGTCTTTGAAATGTTTATGGTTGCCATTTGTCTTCCCCAATGGTTGTGTCAAACAGATCATTAATTAGACATATTTTCTCCAGAGCAGAAGTAAGCAGCTGCATTGTGAAAGCACCTCACTGTTTAGGACTTCCGGTGCCATCCACATTCGCCTCCTACTCCTGGGCGGTTCTTACTAACCAGAAGTATCTAGTATCTGGATTGATTTTCTTTTCTTCTTTCTTTCATTTTTTTCAGGACAGGGTTTCTCTGTAGCTTTGGAACCCGTCCTGCAAACTAACTCTTGTAGACCAACCAGGCTGGCCTCCAACTCACAGAGATCCGCTTGCTTCTGCCTCCTAGTGCTGGGATTAAAGGCCTGCGCCACCACCACCCGGCTCTAGATTTTCTTAATAAAAGCCCATGATGCTTTTTGTTTTCTTTTCAAACTCAAATCATTCTTTTAAAAATAAATGGATGTCAATTTTCCTCCTTTCCTCTTTTGAGCAACTCTTTAAAACATAGATTTTTGAGTCATGACCTATTTCCTTGCTTTCATATTTGTGTGGTGTGTGTTACATTGCTGGGGTCTGTACTGTATTGTATTATACAAATAAAACCTCCAGATTGGAGCTGCAAATACACTTATCTTAGTCTGGCAACCAGATGAGACAATTGAAAGATATTTTTTCCCTCTCAGTGGGCAGTTATATTTCGTTATGGAGTTTGCAGAAATCCGAGTTATAGCACGTTTCTCCCTGCAGTGTGTACTCATCAGAATGTGTATTGAGATTGTTTATCCCCAACGAAAGGCGTGTGTCCTTTCTCTGCACGCATTGACTTGTTTGGATTTCTGTTTGCTTGTGTCCCCCTCCAGACTGTTGGAAAGAGAAAGTCTGTTTTCTCAGCAGGACGGGAAGGCCTGCAAAGCTTCCTCCCAGCAAGAGCCCAGAGCCTGCTGCTGGGCCTGCAGAGAGAACTGCCAAACTAGGCCAGGCTTCGCCTCCTCTCTTCCGCCCCCCTCCCGCCCCGCCCCGTACTCATAGCCGGAGTTGGGGAGTTGCCTCCCACACCACAGTTTACACTCTTATTTGGATCTATTTTAATTTTTCTTTCTGGTTCCCTAGAGGACACTGGGAGCCAGCACACAATGCTAGGGTGGTATCAAACAGCTCAGCGGATGACCCCGGAAGGATGATTCACACGCCTGCTTCCCTCACAGAAGCCGGATTAGTCCTGAATAAACGTTCTGCAGCAAACTGTTTGCCGGAGAAAGGCGGCCTTCAGCGGACCTTTCTTTGTTGCCTTTGTAACAAGTCTGTTTATTCATTCAGTCAGTTTGACTGCTTTGGAAAGAAAACGAATATCTATAATTTTTCTGGGCGGATGTACTTCTCATCCAGGAGTTTTAATATGAACGTAAAAGAGTCAAATATGACTTACAAGTCTTTAAGCAAAACATCGAATGAAGCTTACATTGATTAGTGTGAAATGAATTTACCTGTACCAAGTCAGTAAGTGTATGGTGACACAGGTTCAACTTTCTCCTCCCCACCAACCTTTAATCTCCATGTAGTTCCATTCCAGCCTTAGGTCGCCAGAGACTGGAAATCCTAAAGAGCTGTATTAACTGCAGGGATATAGATACACTCACATTATTTTCCCCCTGACTGTTATTTTTCTTCCTGTCTAGTGCTGCCCTCTGGTGACCATGTTAAAAATTGCATGCCATAGATTTTTGCAGTTTAGCCTAAGGTAAAAAATGAACAGTCAATAAAAGTATGCAATATACTTCAGTTTGTTTGTATTCATTTTTTACCTATCAAATAAATTCAGGACATATCATAGTCCATTCTGGAATTTTCCTGTTTAGGAATATTAAGCACGGGTCAGGTATTCAGACGTGTATCCCCCATAAGCTATCTAAGTTTGCTTTCTGCTTGGGCTGAGAAAAGGAGATAAATTTAACCCAAAGTTTTCCCTTATGGCTTCCCTCTTTAATTTTAGCTAACTGTTCCAAATGCTAGTCTTTCTGATAGACTAGCTCTGCAACACCCGGCAGTGCTTATCAGACACAGAGGAGGAGGAAGGCAGCGAGCTCCCGCCTGACACTGTAGTTATCGCCACATCCTAGAGCTGCAGAATGTTCTGGTAATTGCCCACCCTGCAGGGTCTGTTGGAGTGAACAGCTATGTAGGGAAAGGATCAATGCACCCATGTCGCAGCAACCTTGAACCCGAGTGAGTGATGTGTGTGTGTGCATGTGTGCACACGTGTATGTGTTTGCGTGGTGTGTGTGTATGTGTGTATGCATGTGTGTGTTTATGTGTGTATATGCATGTATATGTGTTTATGCGTGTATGTATGTGTGCTCGTGTGTGTGTGCATGCATGTGTGTGTGTGTGTATGAAGACAGAAGGAAAAGTACAGTGACTGTGTTGGCTTCATGTGGGAATTAAAGTTACATCTCAGGCATCATTTCTTCTCAAAAACCTCATATAGGAGGTGGGGGATTGTTGCCCTTATTTAATGATGGAGAACCGCTGGCCTAAAAGGATTGATCAAGGCTGCGTGGCTTCACGTGAAATCTATGTTGGCCTGACTGTAAGGCCTTCTATCTTTCTAGGACATCACTGGATAAGTAATTGGTTAGAGGGTGCCAGAAGATGTTGCTGTTGTCCGATGGGATTTATCCTTGACTGGTTTTGGAACTTGCTGCTTTCCCAGCATCCAGATGCTCTGACTGCAATCTAGTATGGAGAAGGAGCAGCAAGAGAAAAGAGGGAGAAGAGAAGTGTACTTGGACAACTCCTTAAGGACCTTAGGTTGTGTAGGGTCATTGCTCAATGGCTCATTTTGGTCAAGATTCTTTTGTGTGGATGTGTGCATAAGCTAAAGAAGCTCCCAAATCACAAGGATGTCCAGCCGAGCCTTCCTCTGGTCCGGGTTCTAGGCAGACACAAACACAAGGAAGCTCCAGCCCAGCCTACGCCTGGTCTGAGTGCAAAGCGGACATTTGAGGAATATAGCTGTAGCACTACAATCATGCCGGCAGGGACAATGCTTGCTGCCTCCTTTTGTTTTCCAAAGACAGTTACTATGGTCCATTCTGAGAAGCAGAACTCCATGAGCACATACTGTCCTGACTGGGGCTTTTCCCTTCTGCACAGGGAAGGAGGCTGGAGAAAGGCCTCAGCTATATGTATCAGCTGTTTTCTTTGTAACTTGGACAATAGCTATTGAGTCTTGTGGAATCTGTGGAAAACGTCCTATATTTCCTAACTGAAATAGTGCATTATTCAAAATTGAAACCAAAAAGGGGCGTCCAGTCCCCGACACTGTCATTGCTCTTTCACAGGTAAACCAGTTTCAGGAGAGACCCTTTTTAGAGACTTTTCAGCTTTACATTAGATTATAAGTCACACTTTTCTTAACTGTAGCTGCACCGAAATGTCTTTCCATCACAGGGATGCATCAATGTGTCATTGTCTGCAAACGTCCTGTGATGTCTGTGTTGGGTAGTCCCTCACGTGCATGACTAAGAACCGCGATTGCAACGAGATGTCCATGTAGTACTTTTGATACACAGCCAGGAGGGAAAACTAAAGTTCGATGAAGTCTCAAACACAAAACAGAGCCCTTTACTAGAAGATTTTGTTGCATGAATTCCCTAACTCTCTCCAGGTTTGTTTTGAAAACCGCTGCTGTGGGAAGTTAGTAAGCTGAGGTCACATTGAAGGAGTTTACTACCTCTTTCTTTTTTTTAAAGTTGGTTTTCAGAGTTACTATGAAGGGGCTGGAGAGAGGGCTCAGTGGTTAAGGGGTCTTCTTGCACAACCAGGAGGGCCAGAATATGGATCCCAGAGTCCTGCACAGGCCTGCGCCTGTGCCTCCAGCTCTGAAGGAATGTGGCAGAGACAGGAAGATCCTAAGGGTTGTTGACTTCCAGCCTAGGGGAAACTGAAAGCCCCAGAATTTGGGGAGACCCTCCAGATAACAGGTGGAAAGTGCGGGAGGAGGAAATGCGGTTCCTTCTTCTGACCTCCGTGCACGTGCCTAGGTGTGTGCACCGACATGTACCCAGGAGCACATTCAAGCAAAGGTCAGCACACAGAATAATGGGCCTCATTGTGCCGTTTCCCACAGACTTTGTTCTTTTATTTTTGTTTGGAGCTGAGGACAGAACCCAGGGACTCTACCACTGAGCTAAATACCTAAGCTTATTTTGCTTTCATTTATTCCTATGCCCACTTTTCTCTTCATGGTTTTAGTTCCTTATTACTGATCACCACTGTCCTTGAAATAGCTGCCACATTCTACTCTCATTCTAAAGTTTTTTCGTGTGTGTGTGTGTGTGTGTGTGTGTGTGTGTGTACGTGCATGGGGGTGTCTGTGCATACGCATGGACATGCACACGAGCGTTGAGGTCAGAGGACAACCTTAAGTATCATTCCTCAGCTGCTGTCTACCTTTCCCTTCGACAGTCTTACTAGCCTGAAACTCACCACGTAGGCTGGGCTGGTGGGCTAGCAATCCCTATTGATCTGCCAGCCTCTGTTTCACCAGGCCTGGGATTATAAACACATGCCCACATGTTCAACCTTGAAAATATAGGTTCTAAAAGACCAAACTCCAGTTCTCACGTGTGCAAGGCATGCGCTTCCCTGGCTGAGAAATGACACCAATTCTTGCTCTCCAAGTTGAAATGTGTTTTTATCCACTGTCCTGGTCGATTATCACAGTTCCTTTGGTAAGGGACAGGAGCGGAGAAGGGCCATGCTCACTAACTAGGGTTCTGCTTGTCAACAAACCATGACTTCACCCAAGTCCCAAATGTGCCACCCAGAGACGTCTTTCCATTCTGTCCTTCCCTGCTACCCTCAGCTCCCCGCTAGCCTCCAGTCCTGTGATTTCTGACTCACCTGCTCATGAGACCACGTCCTTTCGGAACCATCTTTGACACAGACGTCCAGCCTCAGCTCCGTCCCCGTGGCTCCATGCTTGCTGTCCACACATAAGTTTGCTGCCAGGCTCCGAATCTGTAGCAGGAGGAACACATGAAGTATGGGACTGTGTCATTACCCCTGACAATCCTGCGATGGATCAAGGTCTCCCTCAGTTAATCTTTTTGATGATGCTACTAGAAAGACACCTTGAATTTATATGCAGTTTGTCTAAAAAAATGAGGACATAAAATATAACAATCTAGGTGGAAGAAGATGACATAGTCAAAAGGCAAATTGCAGCTTGTTGCAGCAAAGTTAGTTTTTGATGATGTGGCAGAGGGCGTGGGGTAGAGCCTTGACCTCTCCAATGAGAGCATATTCTTGCTTAGGGAGTGCTTAATATGGAATTTGCTATTCTACTTTAAGCACATCTACTGTTACCCTCCCAGTGGGGAGAGAATCCAGGCAGGTGTTACAGGGGAGGTGTATGGTTAAGGAAAGGGGTCGTCCAGCATTCCACAGCTCTGAGCAGGTTTCAGGGACCTCTAGTTCCAGTTCAGCTGCAATTGGCTGTTGTCATAGGTTAGCAGTTCTCCTGGATGGTAAATTACATCTGAGAGGATTAGCTATCCTAGCTGAAGATTATATACATGTTTCATAGTACAATTCTTTCCAGTTATTATCTTAGTAAGAAATAGTTAGGGGTAAATAAAGGGAAATAATGAAAAAAATATCAAGAACAGAAACAGTGGCAGATGTGGAGTCTGGACAGGGGCAGAACATTGTAGTGTTCTTCTTCTTGGAATGTCCACCAATCCTCTGCCGACACCATCACCATAGCCTGTAGTAGGGCAAGAATGTTCATGTAAAGTCTAAGAAAGTTTAGGGAGGGGGAATTGATTGGGGGAGGGGGAGGGAAATGGAAAGCGGTGGTGGGGAAGAGACAGAAATCTTTAATAAATAAATAAATTTAAAAAAAAATCAGAAAAAAAAGGCTTCTAGACCCGCAAAAATGGGAGCCAAGTTCAGCTTCTTGTTAACTGCAGTTTTTCAAATAGGCTCTGTTTGCGAGGGACGTACAGCAGAAACTGCTCAGCGTCTTTAAGAAAAACAGCAGCTATATACATATTAGAGTACTACTCAGCAGTAAAAAACAAGGACTTCTTGAATTTTGCATACAAATGGATGGAAATAGAAAACACTATCCTGAGTGAGGTAAGCCAGACCCAAAAAGAGGAACATGGGATGTACTCACTCATATTTGGTTTCTAGCCATAAATAAAGGACATTGAGCCTATAATTCATGTTCCTAGAGAAGCTAAATAAGGTGAATCCAAAGACAAACACATAGGCATCCTCAGGAAGATTAACCTTCATCAGGCGATGAAAGGAGACAGAGACAGAGACCCACACGGGAGCACCGGACAGAAATCTCAAGGTCCAAATCAGGAGCAGAAGGAGACGGAGCACGAGCAAGGAACTCAGGACCACGAGGGGTGCACCCACACACTGAGACAATGGGGATGTTCTATCGGGAACTCACCAAGGCCAGCTGGCCTAGGTCTGAAAAAGCATGGGATAAATCCGGACTAGCTGAACATAGCGGACAATGAGGAATACTGAGAATTCAAGAACAATTGCAGTGGGTTTTTGATCCTACTGCACGTACTGGCTTTGTGGGAGCCTAGGCAGTTTGATTGCTCACCTTACTAGACCTGGATAGAGGTGGGCAGTCCTTGGGCTTCCCACAGGTCAGGGAACCCTGATTGCTCTTCGAGCAGATGAGGGGGGGGGGACTTGATCGGGGGAGGGGGAGGGAAATGGGAAGCGGTTGTGGGGACGAGGCAGAAATCCTTAATAAATAAATAAATTTAAAAAATAAATAAATAAAAAAAAAAAAGAAAAACAGCAGCTTCCTGGTTCACCAGCACAAAGGGCTTTGACTCTTTTGGAAGGTCTGGCGATGGAGCATGTAAATGGGGCTTGCGAGTAGGGAGTGCTACAACTTGCTTCATGGCAGCACAGACCCCCTGTGTGCCTGAAAACGGGACTGTGAGAAGGGCTCTCAGGCAGCAAACAGACCTTCACCATGTTGCACTGGGCGGAGTCAACAGGCATGACTGCGGAGTTGATCCTAGCCATGCCCACTTAGCATTGTTTTTTAAAGCAGTCTTGGTCAGAAAATGATTACAGATGTGCAATAAAGACAGATTCAGATGAGAAAGACTTCTAAATGGGTAACATTGTTGGATAAATGTAGATAGAATTGAGAGAGAGAGGGAGAGAGGGAGAGAGAGAGAAAAGAAAAGAGTATAGACACAGTTATAATATAAAAGTACAGACAGTCATAAGTTAAAGTAGTAAAGATAATAAAATAAATATTAAACTTGTAAAAAAATAGAGTAAGAAAAATAAGCCACATAAAGATGGAAAATACACAGAGAGTCTGGATTATGTGTATTATTGTGTTTTCTTTGAATTTTTGACTATAAATGAGCTAAATGCAAAGAGATATTTTATTGTACGGGCTGCTAAGCTAAACGTATATATATATATATATATATATATATATATATATATTCAAAATTTGGGTCTAAGGATTTATTGTTTTGGAAAAGGTTCTTTTCTTGTTTCTATAGAGGATGAGAACCTGTGGATTCCTTCCAGATTAATGTGGTTTGATGAACCAAGATCCCTCAAAGGTCTCCATGAGCCCTAAAATTACTTCACTCAACAAAAAGCAGGAAGTAGTTTGGAGAGAACTATGCCCAAATTCCCAAATATTGTTTATAAATGTTTGTTTAAAGGGGGGTATGCTATAGAGATTTGCATTGGTATGGATCTTGGTTTATTGATACAAATTTAAGATCAATTTTGTAATATGTATAATTTTACTCTTGATTAAGGTATTGTGTTTGTGCAATTCATTTAAAAATGTAATGTATAATTAAGAAATACAGGTTCATAGATAGTCATCTATAAAGTCAATTTTGTAGTCATGTTAATTATGTTTTTTAGATGTACAGTGATATATTTCAGATGACTAGGTATTCTTCAAACCTTTCAAAGACTTATAGAATATGGCATTTAAATATTTTAAGAACTTAGTTATTTCTCAACAATGAGACATGTCTGCTCCTGGCAGCACCAGTCTACTTCAAGAGGATGATGGGCATCAAAGAGGCTCCTCATGCAAAAGTTTGTTAGCATTTGGGCAAGAAACTTCTCTTGCCTGAACTGCTTGACTGGACTTGCAGGACCCACAGAGAAGCCATGTAGCTGCCGAAGGAGACAGATGCCAGATCTTTGCCTGGTAAAGCCACAGCCATATGGTGATAGACTGATAAATAAAAATGTGTTAATTTAAGGTATAAGAGCTAGCTAGAAAGACACTTAAGCTATTGGTCAAACAGTATTGCAAATAATATAGTTTCTGAGTGATTATTTCAGGTCTGGGTATCCAGGAATGAATGAGTAGCCTCTATCAACAGATTGACTGCTGAAGTTGCCTAAAGAAGGTAAGACAGTCCTTCAGAGTTCCTGCTTCAGGAAAGACTCTTCCAGACATTCTGCAGGACACAGAAAAAAGTGACTGACAAACTGACAATATAGACAGAACTGTCTTTGAAATTTTCTGATTCATGAAAAAGTCTACCAGATACTATTGATGCCTACAACATTACAGAAGAACTTTAGGTGACTCTCCAGGCAGTGAGATGTCTCTGTCAATTCTAGGGTTTTGGAAGTTGCTTACAATGTACTTCCTTTTTACTTAGATAATATTATATCCTTCTGAGTTTTTGATGGAGTTGAAGAATAGATAATTATAATTATAGTTTTCTTTAGTTATGATAAAAGTTAAAGTAGATATAAATATTGTAACTGTAATCCTTGCTTGATACCTGTTTTAGTATATGTAATTTTACTATGTTAAAATTAAAACCTTCCTTCTTATTTGAACAGAAAAGAGGAAATGGTGTGGGAAGTCCTTCTGTATATGTGTTGCTTTTATTGGTTAATGAATAAAAAAACTGCTTTGGTCTATGATAGGGCAGAATAGAGCTAGGGGGGAAACTAAACTGAATGCTGGGAGAAAGTAGGCAGAGTCAGTGAGAAGCTATGTTGCTACCTGCAGGAGACAGACATGCTGGAACCTTGCCAGTAAGTCAGAGCCATGTGGCCATACACAGATTAATGGAGATGGGTTAGTTTAGGATATAAGAGCTAGCTAAAAATATGCTTAAGCTATTGGCCAAACAGTATTGCAAATAATATAGTTTCTGTGTGATTATTTTGAGTCAGGGCGATCAGGAAACAAGCGAGTAGACTCTGCCAACACAGGAGTTCATGAGAGTGAACTTGATTGCTCATCAAAGCACAGCTGGTTGATCATCACTTAAAGAAAATGATAGCTTCATCTTTTGGAAACAAGGACTAAGGCTAAACTTTCTTCTGGGATTTTGAAAGGGGGAAGGGCAAGAGAGGGAAAAAAAGGCTTTTATAAATTCTTTTTCCATCATGTGTGTGATAATGCACTCTTGAACTTCTTTAGTAAAATAGGAACACAAAGAGTTAGATTTCACCATCACTGTCACCTTTGTGTGTGTGTGTGTGTGGTAGTTAGTGTCCTGCTTTCTATGCCAGACCACCCTGGAACTTTTGATCCTCTTGCTTTAGCCATCTCTACTGGGCCTGGTGTGCTTTTCCTGTGCTGAGCCCGGCTCACTCTGAAAAGCTCTGGTTTTATGTCCTCCTCTGGGTCCAGTGTGTCACCTTTCTGAAGCTTTCTGTCACCTGAATAGCACCCTGAGAGGTTTGTCTTTTTACCTCTGGGCCCTACAATCCCCTGAGGCAGTCTTGTTAGAGAAGGGTTTTTCAAAGCATACGCTGACATCACCTTCATGGCGCGACTCTTCCCTCTAAGGAAATCTAGGAGCTCCAAACCGCATTTACAAAGGGGGAAACAGCTGTTTGTATACTCTCAACAACTTTGCCACAGGAGAGGCTTTCCTACACGGTTGACATTCAAGCTTGCCATCCGCAGGACTCTGCTCTTAGAAATGGAGGAAAGAGATAGCATCCCAAGTTAGGGA